GTGCCACAGAGTCCTCTTTAAACAATATATTCCCTTGGAAGTGGTAAGGTCTGGGAAAGCCATAACCAGAGAGACTGCCTCCAAAGTCAGGCATCCTGTGAGAGGCTACTGGGACATGCAACCAGACCATGAGCACAAACCAGTTTCCCAGCTCCCACAAATCATACTAGAGATCTGGTGGTTTCTCATGCCCCTGATTGTCCTGACAGGACAATCAGGAAGATAATCCTTGGGAGAAGGTTTCCCCTCTTAGCACCTCCCAATGAACAGGTGGTTTGGCCCTCTCTACCAAAATAAGTCTAGGCCAGGGGTAGGCAACGTTTTTTGGCCAGAGTGCCGAAAAAACCACAATGTCTACCTTGGAAGGTACCGGAGTGCCGGCATGCCAGAAAAGCAAAATGGGGGCGGGGAGGGGGTACATGGCAGGACACACTGCATATTAGTATATTTAATAATCATAAATGTTGCCTTTGTTGTTCTGTATTCCTTTTTTGTTGATCATGTTGCAATGAGAGATAGAGAAAAAAGAGACAAATAAGAGAAAGAGGAGAGAAAAAGGTGAGCAGAGAGAGAACCAGACACACTCACATGCACACGCACACAGAGAACCACGTGCACAAACACAGAGAACCAGAACACACCCAGAACAGACACATGCACACTAACATCCGCAACCAGACACATGTGTGTGACACAGACACACAGAACCAGACAGAGGCAGACAAACACACAGAACCAGATGCTGGGCTCGGAGCGGGGGGGAGTCAGGGGGGTTCAGCTGCTGCCAGCCACGAAGCCCGGGCTGCTCCCAGCAGGTGACTGGGTGGCTACCAAGCAGCCTGGTTTCTCTGTTTGGCAGCAGCTACCCAGAGCCTGGGCCGGTTGCAGCCAGGAGGCTGCAAACATCTGCTCCGAGCTCTGGTATCAGCTTCATATCAGTGGGTGCATGTGCGCCTCAGAGTGGACGGTGAGGATAGAGGGAGCACGGCCCTCCAGCTATCTGCTCTGAGGTCCACGTGCAGTCACTGCTGGCATGGAGCTGATGCCAGGGCTGTGAAGCCCTGCACAGCTGTTTCCAGCCTGCTTGCTGCCTGCTGCAGCTGTCCGGAGCCCAGGCTGGCTACAAATAGCTGCGGCAGGCTCCAGAGCCCAGTCTTCAGCTCTGTGCCAGCAGCGGGGAAGAGGCCAGGGTTGTGCTGCCTCAGGTCTCCCCCACCACCATCAGCTCCGAGGCGCACGTGCACCCACTGGTATGGAGCTAACGATGGATCCTGGAGCAGATGTTTGCAGCCTCCTGGCTGTATCTGGCCTAGGTTCTGGGTAGCTGCTGCCAACCACGGAGCCCGGTCTGCTTGCAGCAGGGCTTGCAACTGCCCAGCCGCCTGCTGGGAGCAGCCCAGGCTTTGTGGCTGGCAGCAGGTACCTGGAGCCCAGGCTGGCGGTGGTGTGCCAAGCAAAATGGCTTTGTGTGCCGTGCTTGGCATATGTGCCAGGGGTTGCTGACCCCTGGTCTAGATGGTACAGTGATGTTCTTGTAATTTTATCTCTTTGGATTTACCGTAATTTTCTACTGGGTAGAGTAGGTAGAGAAAAAGAGAAAAGATCTAATGAAGAAAATGATGCCTTTCTTATTGTCTATTAAAACTAAGAAAACACTATCATTGAGGCATTTAAGCTTTGATAATGCCCATTAGTGATGGCCATATAACTATGTAATATCCCTGTGAAGTGAGGTGGAAATTTACTGAGGTTTCAAGTCCACATTTTTTATCTTTCATTATTTGTTGTCAATCCATTTTCTGTAGCATCTTGTTATTGGCAGAGGAATAATGAACTGAGAGAAAACAGAATTTTATTACAGTCTTGCAGGCCCAGATAATTATATATTTTGAACTATGTTTTGACACCAGGAACAATGGCACAGTAAATCGCAGTTACAACAGTTCTGTTTAATGTAATGTTTTCCTCTTACTTTCTTGGTGTGGTTTTATTCTGCATTCCTAAAGTGAATTTGTCACTTGTGAATGTGCTATATTGAAAGACATGGAGATTAGCCACTGGACAGACAGGAGGCCAGTGTGAATGCAAGTTTATGCAGCAGTATGCCTCCCTATTAATCATTTCTAAGTGCTAACCTGGAGTGACTTCCTCAAAAGTTAAAAATGGAAGTCTAGTCTCTGCATCTCTCCAGTCCTCACTTGGGCCAAGGCTGGGGCCAGTTATGGTAATACTATATTTACCTGAATCCAAGACAAGGTTCTTTTCCCCATTCATCGTGGGGGGACACATCTTAGATTTAAGTACAAGATAAGATGTGGGCAGTGGCTGCAGCTCCAATTTCGACCCCAAGCCCAGGGTTGGCATCAGAGTTTAAGCTGCAGCTGCTGCTCCCCACCCCCACTTGTCCCTCACAGCCTCTCCCACCCCACCACACCTTTGCCACCTCTGTCTTCCCTCCTCATACTCCCTCCCCACAACCCTTCCACTGCTTACTTTCCCATCACAGCTGTGGCTTTGGCTGCCAG